GCCCGCACCAAGAGGTCACTCCGGCGAGAGGTCACTCTTGCGTCTAGTCGACGGTGCCAGGCCCAGGATCGGCCGGCCAGGAGGGGTGTGCGACGGGCGGATAGGTCCGGCGTCCCCCCCTTGTCGGCGGCGAGCGAGGGGGGGGGAAGCGAGAAGGCGGCGAGCGAGGGGGAGGAAGGAGAAGGAGAAGGCTCGAGCTTCGAGGTTCTAGGTGTTCGGCGTTTTCGCAGTTTCTCGGCGGCGTTCCGCCCTCGGGGTGTGTTCCAGCAACTGCGCCTCGCCGAGAGCGTTCGGGGGGGGCCGGGATCGTCCCGAACGGCCGCCAGAGATCCGAGCTGTAACCCAAAACCCAGAGTCGGCGGCGCGCCCGGGGGGAAGAGAGAAGGAGTTCTTCTCAGAAGGTGGCGGGGCTTCTCAGAAGCCCTCGCGCCATCTGGAAGGTGTTCTGTGCCTTCGGGGAGGGCTCAGGAAGCTTCTCAGAAAGCGGGGGGACTTCCGAGCCTTCTGAGAAGGCCCGCCCCTTCTCACGTCCCCCCAGGCTCGCCGCCGAGCTGTGCGTCAGGCGGATGGTTGGCGCCCCCCGATTGGCCGACTAGCCGCGGACGCCCCGATCGAAACTCTGATTCCTAATTCTGTACATCGCGAGCTAAGAGCAGCACAACTACGTTGTGGATTCACGGCGGAGCTGTTATCGGATCGCCCAGCGCCGAGGGCGAAGCCTCGACCTTGGACGTCAGGGCCCCGACAGCGCGGACGTGTTGACGAAACCAGGACACTGGCGCAACAAAGACAACTGCGGCCGTGAGCGGATGCATTCTCCCTTCCATTTTCATCTCCCGCTGGATCATGCGCCCAGGTTTGCTCTGTCCCGGTTTCGGGGGCCCTGAGCATTCCGCTGGACTCTTGGACACGGCGGCCCGCTGGAGCCCCGACCCCTGGACGGCCCGCTGGTGGGGACCTCGCTGCGGAGCCTCCACGGGGAGGACCTGGCGGTCTCAGAGCGGGGGGAGGTCCCCGAGCCGCACCAACTCTGGGAGCTCGCGGCCCGGCGGGGGCTCAGCGTCGAGCAGCACCGTCGGTGGCCAGGCGTCAGCCTGGAGCAGCACCGTGGGCACCTCGCGCACCATCTCCGAGCAGCACATGGGCGGCCAGGCCCGTCGCAGGCGCTTGGAGCTGCCCACCTGGCCACCGCCCGCTACAACATCGGCCTCCTCGAAATAGACGCCCGCTAACTCCAGCTCGCTGCCGGGCGCAGACCACTTGCCGTCGCAGAAGCCGCCGTGCGAGAACACCACGCCCTCCGCGGCCCAGCAAGCGTGCCAGCACCTGTGCACGCCCAGGTCGCAAGCCACCCACTCGCCCGAGCCCGTGTCGTACAGCGCCGAGCTCAAGGGGGCATCGCGCCCAGAGCTGGCTGCCCCGCGGCCGCCAGCGACGAGGAGCCACTCGCCGAGGAAGACGCAGGCGTGCTGGCAGCGAGGCTCGGGCAGCGCGCTGGCCCCCACCGGCGCGAGCACCCACTCCCAACTCCCGTCGCTCCGCGGCTCGAGGCCCCACGCGTCGTTCAGGCAGGCGCCGTCGGACCTTCTGCCCCCGAAGACGACGACCATTCCCCGCGCAGCCCCGGCAGGGCAGACGGCGGCCGCGTGGTAGCACCGCGGGCTCGGTGCGAGGCTGTTGGCGGCACTCACCTGGGTCCAGCGCCAGGGCCCGAATGGGCGGCCCCTGATGCTGAGGGTCCACAGATCGCCCAGGGCCTCGAGGCCGTTGTGCCCTCCGAAGACCACCAGCTCCATCTGGCCCTCGGAGAAGACCATGGCGTGGCCGTACCTGGCCCCCGGCGTCGGGCCCTCGACCCGCACCACGGCCCAGCCGGGGCCCTCGAGGTCGTCCGCGTCGAGGAGGTACATGTCCTCTGTTGCACGCAGGAGTGACCCTAGCCAAGAGTGGCCTTCTTGGAGCGCGGCTAAAAGCGGCCGCCACAGGTGCCAAGTCCAAACAACCCGAGCGCGCCAGCCGGTGCTGGCGGGAGCCGCGGGAGCCAGCACCAACAAGGTCACTCGGGCGAAGGGCCCCTCTTACGCGCAGCCGAGTGTCCTCGGGCACCAGCATGCCACCCCCAGCGGACCCGCCGTAGACGACCACCTGCCCGTGGCCCTCGCCGACACACACCGACGCGTGGCCGAGGCGGGCCGCGGGACTCGGGCCCTCGGTCTCCATCCTCGACCACGTCCTCGTGCGGGGGTCGAGCACGTGCGCGTCGGCCAGCACCGTGAAGCACCCGCCGCCGCCGGTGGCGCCCCCGAAGAGCACCACGCGTCCGTCGCCGAGCGGCGTACAGGTGTGCCCGAAGCGGGCGCCGACAGGCATCCTGCGGGCACCTTCTGGGGCTGCCCTCCTGTCGTCTAGGGCCTAACGACTTCTGCTGTCCCTCGACTCGCGCTAGATATTTTGCGGGCTCTCCAGGCTTACCTGGGCACCTCTGGATGTACCTCGATTTCGCAGGGTTGGCACCGATCTATATATATACTATATATTTGTGTACACACAAAATCTACGTATACATATACCTATACCTGGACATGTACATATATATGTACACACACATATACATATACATATGCATATACATATACGTATAGAAATACAAATACATATGCATTTACCTATACATATACTTATATATATATATACATATATATATATGTATACTCATAAACATACACATCTACATGTACATTTATATGTGCATATGCAACTACATAAATAACTATCAACTATATATATGCATACATTCACATACATATGCATATGCATATATATATACATAAACATACACATATACAAATATGTATATACACGTGCATACGCATGTACAAAAACATATACATATGAGTGTACAGATACAGATACCTAAACATAGACACATGAATGTACACACCTATACATGTGCATATACATTTATATGCGCATAACATATACATATACATATTATACGTATATACATGCATAAACAGATACATACACCTATAAACACATTTATAGATAGATAGATATATAGATAGATACGTGTACGTATACATATACATTTACACATACATATACATATGCATAAACATCTACATATGCATAAACATATGCATAGGCATACATATATGCAAATTGATATACATATTTATGTACATATACATAGACCTAAACATATACACCTGACTATGCATGTACATATACATACACGCATACGTATATATACACATATACATATACCTAAACATAGACCGAGAACAGTACACACATATGCACATGCGTATGCATATACATATACATGTACACGAACATACACATACATAAATATATATGCATCAACATATACATTTACATATACATAGATGTCTATATGTATAGACATAGAAATACAAAGTATGCATATGTATGTACATATACATATACACATACATGTACATATATATATACATACATATATATATAAATGCATATACATATACATCGGCAACGACATATACTAACACAGATGTGTATACCAATACATATACACATACGTATGTATGTACATATACATATTTATATATATTGCGTACACATATACTTCTATACATCTGTATATGCAATACCTGGATTATCTGGCTCGATCCCAGCAAGTCGATTGGAAAACTGTCGTCAAGCCCTGAGGGGTCCTGCCTGAAAAAGAACGCGCGTGAGACGATATGATGGGCGGTCTCCCGCTGGGGAGGGAGCTTGAAGTTCGAAAAAAGGCAGCGGGGGAGGGAGGCGAAAAGGGAGGAGGCTCGCTTCTGCGGATCGGTTCGGTCGTCCTCGAGGGCGCGAGTCGAGCTCACTACTGCCACGCGAGGCTGCGACGTTCGGGGAAGACTCCGCTGGGGCCAACCGAGAGGGGCCAGTATGGAGAACCCGATTCTCGGCGATAGGAAAGACACGAAACTGTGACCGCATGAAGGCCGAACAAGGAGCAGGAGGAGGAGGAGGAGCAGGCTGAGGATTCTGGAAGAGAGGTGGAGTCTGCGAGGCGGGGATTTAATCCACCGCCTGGGAACCGACGTCCTGGTGCCTCAGCGTTCGCGGGGTCCTAGAAGGCACAGCGGAAATAAGGGCCAAGCGAATTATTTGAGACATGGCTGAGAATTGCGAAACTGTCGCTCTGTTCGTGGGTTCCCAGTAGGCACGGCGCAGGTGCAGGGCAGCGCAGATCCGTTTGAGACCTCGCGGCCCTTTCGGGGGCTGCGAAGTGCAAAACGCTCGCCACTTTCGTGGGCTCAAGGACCCTGAGCCCGCGATCATATATGCCAGCACTCCCGTGCCTGTGCGAAGCAGGCACTCTAGTGCGTGCTGCGCATGAGCCCACCGTCCCTTCTAAGGAAAAATCAGAGAGCACTGTGCCATGGACGGCTGGCACACCATCCCTCTCAAAAAATACAAAATAAGCGTTGCACCAAACCTGGACCATGCGCGGGCGCACCGCGATCACTTTGCGCTGGTTTTCGACACGAACGGCGGGGGGACCCCGCTGCTGCCGCCGCGGAGTCTGCCGCACCAAGCAGCGGCCCGAGCCCCGGCTCTTCCGCCATGGACGCCCGAGAACAAACAGCGCGCGTATCTGTCCTGTCGCAGTTGACTGAGCGTCTAACCTGCATGGCGAGAAATCAGTATAGACTTCATTTGGGTGAGAAGGAGGTCGAGAGGGAGTGACATGCGTTTCGATTTGCAATGGAAACACGAATCGATTGACGAGTGGACAAATATCGGGAAGCGGATATTCGATGTGCATCCCGGCCGCGTTCTTCTCGATTTCACGGTCTATCTATCGGGACAACCATCGGGACAACAATTCGAACAACCATCCCAGCGCAGTGGGAACGGCTCGGCCGTGTTCTCAGGCGTCGGAGTGTTGCTCTCCGTCGTGCTGTTGCGCATCGTACTGCTGGGACGCGACGTGCTACTAAGTGTTGTACTGCTGGCGGACGCCATCGGGACAACCACCGGTTCCTGACGGTGCGTGGGCGCACAATGCCAGGGAACACACGCGTCGTCAATCGTTGCCGGTGGCTTGCGCTCCCCAGGGGAGCCACCCTGCTCACTGAAACCTTGGTCCTTCGCTGAATGGGGGATCCCACCGCATGAACTCATCAGGATGGGGGCCCTTCCATTCGGGTGCTGCCAATATGTTGGGAGGGCTGGTGGAGGTGCAGTCTTTCGGGGGGGTGACTGGCAGCCAACCTGGACCCATGAGCCTACCCCCCACCCATCCCTGTCAACAAACAATACAAAATACACGCTGCCTCCAAATTTGGCGCGTGCCCGGAGCCCCCCCGGGACCGCTCCAGGCACCCCCCCAAAGGAGAAGAAAGAGGATCGGAAGAATCGCGGAGGGAGGAGGCCACAGCCGCGAGGATCACCCAATCCGGAGCCCCACGGATCGGCGGCACTGGCCGGAGGCCGTTACAATACACGCTGCCTCCAAATCTGGCGCGCTCGCGGACGGCCCGCGAACACGCTGAAGTGGTTTGGACGGGGACGGCGGGCGTGCTGGCATATGACCTGCTGTGTGCCATGCGAAGACCCTCCCACTATCCCTGTCAAGAACCAATGCAAAATACACTTTGCGGCAAAATCTAACCCCCCCAGAAGAAAAGAAGAGGGACCGGAAGAATCGAGGAGGGAGGAGGCCACAGAGCCGCGAAGATCACCGAATCCGGAGACCCCCGGATCGGCGGCACTGGCCGGAGCCCATCACAATACACTGTGCGGCAACATCGAAAATCATGCTCGGGGGAGCCGCGAACGCTTTGTACTGATCTTTTGACTTCGACCGCGGGGGGGCCAGCATATGGCCTGCGGTGCGCAGGGCCACCACTTCGCGGCGAAATCTGCACCTTCAAAAACGATGCAAACTGCGCTTCGCGGCAAAATGTGGATCATGCGCAGGCACCCCGCGATCACGTTGCATGAGCTTTTCACCCGGATGGCAGGGGGGGCCCGCACGGTTCCTGCTTTGTGGAGGCCTTCCACTCATCCTGATGGCCACTCTGCCGAGATTGTTCATTGATTTTCGAGAAGGCTGGGAAAGGCCAGCATGCTTCCCGGTGTGCGTGGAAGCGCCTGACACTCCCTGCGCGTGCCCCGAACGTGGCACACCTAACGCGGCTGCAGTACACGGCGCACCTCGCGCGCGCGGAGCACGTGCCACATCTGGCTCACCAGGCGCGCCTGGCAAGCTTGGGCAGCGCCTGGCGCGAGTGGTGCGCGCGGCGCGCCTAGCATGCGTGGCGCGCATGGTACGCGTGGCGCACCTCGCCCAAACGTCGCGCATATGGGCCAATACTGGTTCCCAGCTGCTGCTAATCCACAAACGGCCGCTGAATATGCTGAAACTCGGATACTTACTACCTCTGTGTTCGGAGGGCCGGTGTGAGTGAGCCAGACAGTGTGCATCTAGGAAGGCTGTCTTGATCACTGCTCCCTATCAAATAAAATCGTCCTCCCCCAGGCGACCGGCAGCCAATTTGGATCAATGAGCCCACCGCCCCACCATTCGGCGGTGGACAAACCTCCCTTTAGTAGACCTCCCCTTAGTGAAAACGGCTTGGGACCGAAACCGACGGACCTGGACCCGCAAAAATGACGGTCGCGACGCCCTCTCGCGAACCAAAAACGGCCAATTCCTTCATCGACGTGTCAGGGTAGGAGGTCTGGCCACCCCCGAACCATCCCTTAAAAAACCCTACAAAATGCACTTTGCCTCCGGATCCGGCGCATTCGCGGGCGCCCCACGACCATTCTGAATTAGCTTTTGACGAGGACGGCGGGGCTGCCGGTGTATTGCTTGCTGCGCGCGGGCCAGCCGTCCCGTTCAAAAAGCCATATGAAATTGAGCTTTGGCTCCAAATCTGGAGCATGCGCAGGGCTCTCTTTTCTCTGAGCTCTCATCTGCTTCACGACTCCTCAAGATATCACAATTTGTCCATCGGTGCTGGTGCTTTGCGCTCCCTGGAGGAGCCGCCCTTTTCACAAAATGCTCGGCACTTCGCTTCAGGGGGATTCAAGATCCTGAGCTCCTTGGGGCCAGGGCCCTATGCACCTGGGGTCCCTATTGGTTCCCGGTAGCTGGCGCACCTGGCGCGGCTGGAGCACGTGGCACAGTTGGCGCACGTGGAGCAGTGCAGCACCTGGCAAACTTGGGCCTCCAGGGTGCCTGGTACACCTGGAACCCGTGGCGCGCATGGCACGTGTGGCGTCCTAAGCGATCTGCAGACACTCGGGTGTTACTTCTGTGTTGGGAGGGCGGGCGGGAGTGAGCTGGACGGTCTGCTATCTAAAGGGGTAGCTTGACACCTCCCCATACCCCCCACCCCTGGATCTGGACGGGGGGGGAGGACCACGACCACGACGACAAGAACGATGACCATGACAACAACCGCGACCACAACAACGACGACGACCACAACCACGACAACGACGACGACCAAAACGACGACGACGACGACGACGACGACGACGACGACGACAACGACCACAACCACGACCACGACCACGACCACAACGACGACGAAAACGACGACGACGACGACGCCGACGACGACGACGACGACGACGACGACGACGACGACGACGACGACGACGACGACGACGACGGCGGCCGCGGCGGCGGCGGCGGGCAGAGCCACGATTTTCCAGCGCGGGGATCAGCGCGCCAGGCGCTCAGGCCGCCGGCTGGTCCTTGTGCTTCAGCCGCATGTGCCCCGCCAGAGCCGCCTCCGTGAGGCCCGCGGTTTCGCCTGCCGCGGGCGCTCTCCGCGCGCGCGGCGCCTGGCGCTCGTCGTCATTATCGTCGCGGTTGTCGTCGTCGTCGTCGTCGTCGTCGTCGTCGTCGTCGTCGTCGTCGTCGTCGTCGTCGTCGTCGTCGTCGTCGTCGTCGTCGTCGTCGTCGTCCTGGCCGTCGTCGGCGTCGTTGTCTCCGCCGCAGTCGTCGCCATCGTCGTAGGAGGAGGGGAGGGGGTCATCGGCGGCGACGTCCTCGTCGTCGCCGCCGAGGCCTTCACCGCCGCGATCACCGTAGAAGCAGGAAGAACAAGTCGTCATCGTCGTCATCGTCGTCGTCGTCGGCGTCGTCGTCGTGGATCGTCGTCGTCGTCGTCGTCGTCGTCGACGTCGGCGTCGTCGTTGTCGTCGTCGTGGTCGTCGTCGTCGTCTCCGCCGCCGCCGCCGCCGTCGCCGCTGCCGCCGCCGCCGCCGTCATGAAGTCTGTCCAGAAAGGTCCAGCACGCCTGCCTTGGGAACCGCCATGACGCCTTCGCACGACCCTGGCACGTGCCCTGATGCCTGCACTGGGTCCTCAGCCAAAGAAGAAAATGAGGTGGACGCTGAAGAGGAGGCGCAGGACTGGGGGTCCCGAAACGGTGCGATGGCAGACCATGCGGTGACCACGGAATCCCCGGAGACCTCACCGCACGGTCCGTCACCGCACTGTGTGGGGACCTTGGAGGCCCCAGTCGTCCGAGACGTCCTCGGAGGGCGACACAAGTCCCAATGACTCACCACATGGTGTGGTCACCGCACCGTCTGGGGGTCTCCGACAAGAGGGGGGCCCAGCATCAGCGCCGAACGGGCCGTCAGTGAGGGCGCCCACCATGCCTGATCCAGCTCGGTCAAGCCGTTGGTGGGGTCGACGAGTGCGACAACGGGGGAACGACACGGGGCAGACAGAGAGGGCGATCATCCTCCTCCTCCTCCTCCTCCTCCTCCTCCTCCTCCTCCTCCTCCTCCTTCTCCTCCTCTCCCTCCTCCTCCTCCTCCTCCTCCTCCTCCTCCTCCTCCTCCTCATCATCATCATCATCATCCTCATTATCATCACCATCATCATCATCATCATCATCATCATCATCAGCATCATCATCAACAACAGCAGCAGCATCAGCATCAGCATCAGCATCAGCATCATCATCATCATCACCACCACCATCATCATAATCAGAATCATAATCATCAGCATCATCATCGTCATAATCATCGTCGTCAGCATCATTATCATCATCATCAGCAGCAGCACGAGCATCGTCATCATCATCAGCAGCAGCAGCATCATGATCATCATAATCATCAGAATAATCAGAATAATGATAATAATCATCATCATCATCATCATCATCATCATCATCATCATCAACATCATCATCAACATCATCGTCCTCGTCCTCGTCCTCGTCCTCGTTCTCATCCTCGTCCTCCTCCTCGTCATCATCCTCCTCCTCCGCCTCCTCCTCATCACTATCATCATCATCAGCATCATCATCCTCATCATCCTGAGCATCATCATCATCCTCATCATCAAAAGCAGCAGCATCATCATCGTCGCCATTATCACCATCATCACCATCACCATCACCATCACCATCACCATCACCATCACCATCACCATCATCATCATCAGCATCATCATCATCATCAGCATCATCATCATCATCATCATCATCATCATCAGCATCATCCTCATCCTCATCCTCATCCTCATCCTCATCCTCATCCTCATCCATTCCTTTTCTTTCCAAATCCGCCACCGTGCCTCTGGGCGCGGAGTGGGCGTGTCCTCAGATCCTTTGCCCAATCCCGTAAGCCTCACTCGTCACTCCTGAGGAGTCTCTTAGGGGCCGGGAGCCTAAATTGCCAAGTCTTCTGGGGCTTGGCGCGGTTCCCTTGGGGCTTGGGCGCGTGGTGGCGCGTGATTTTGCAGGGCCCAAGAGGGCTGCAAGACGGACCCAGGGAGCCCCAAGACGCCTTCAAGACGGTCCACGACGGCACCGAGTCGCCGAACGATCGCTCCAAGGCGCCCAAAGTGGCCCTAAGATGGCCCAAGAAGCCTCCAGGACGTCCCAAGAGGCCTCCACGAGGCCTCCCAAGAGCCCCTAGGTTTTTGAACGACTTTGGCAATCTCGCTGTTTCCGCTTCCCCACGCTCCAAGATGGCCCAAGGGGCCCTCAGGACCGCTCCAAGACGGCCCAAGAGGGCCCCAAGACGGCCCAAGCGTTGCCCAAGACGGTCCAAGAGGGCCCCAAGACGGGCCCAAGAGGGGCACAAGAAAAGGACCACGAACCGAACATTCGAGATGTGTGCCCCCCGAAGGCCCTAAAAGGGCTCCAAGAGGCTAGCCGGTTCGGCTCCCCGACGCTCCCAGACGGCCCTAGAGGCCCCTGAGACCGTCCCAAGACGGCCCAAGAGGCTTCCAAGACGGCCCCAAAACAACCCAAGAGGGCCCCAAGACAGACCAAGAGGCGCCCAGAACGGCCCAAGAGGGCCCCAAGACGGCCCCAAAAGGGACCCGAAAGAGGGAACACGAACCGAAAATGCGAGCCTTCCGATCCCCAAGAGGCTCCCAGGAGGCCCCAAGCGGCACCCAGGAGGCCCCAAGAGGCCCCCAAGAGGCCCCCAAGAGGCCCGCAAGAGGACCCCAAGAGGCCCCCAAGAGGCCCCAAGGCCCCCAAACGAACTGCCTCCAAGAGGCCTCCAAGAAGCCTCCCACGAGATCCCAGCGAACACCCAATAGGCTTCATACCCACAACCCAGGCACGGTGGCGGGATGGGCCGAAGGCCATTGACTAGATAAGTTCTCCCAGTCGCACCCCGAGTCGGGTCGGTAAGGCAGGTCGGGCGTTTCGCCTGAGACTTCCTCACCGTTTATGATCCTCAAGCCTGCACTTTGCAACAGCTTCACGGACGACAGGCGGGCCGCTTACAAAATAGGGTTTTCGCCTTAGCACCGCGCACATTCGTCCTACAAAGTTGTGGAGAGTGTCACGGATGGAGGGCGGGCCGCTTTCAAAATGTGGCGCTCGCCTTCGCACCGCGCACATTCGTCTTACACATGTGCAAAAAGTTTAGCGGATGGAGGGCGGCTCCTGTTCAAAATGTGGCTAGCGCCGCGTACATTCGTTTTAAAAGTTTACAACGGTTTCAAGGATCATCATGGTTAACGTCCCAGGGCGTAACAGTCACGTGGATTCGCGGTGTTGAAGTCCCAGGAATGGTGTTCTGGCAAGGTTCAGGATCGTCGGGACGCAGCAGTAACGTTGATTCGCGGCTTTGCCGTTCCAGTAATGGTGCTTTGGCACGGTTCGGGATGTTCAAACGATTGCCTTCAAATGGGGCACTTCCCTATGTGAAAACATCCCTGTAGGGGCCGATGAAGAGCGAACGTGGAGGGAGGGTTTATTGCGACATCGTTTGTGCGCCTTGGGTTTACAATGGTTCTCCTACTCCTCCTCCTCCTCCTCATCCTCCTCCTCCTCCCCATCCTCCTCCTTATCCTCCTCCTCCCCCTCCTCCTCCTCCTCCTCCTCCTCCTCCTCCTCATCATCATCATCATCAGCATCAGCATCATCATCATCATCATCATCATCATCATCATCATCATCATCATCATCATCATCATCATCATCATCATCATCATCATCATCATCACAGCATCAGCATCAGCATCATCAGCATCATCATCATCATCAGCATCAGCATCATCATCAGCATCATCATCAGCATCATCATCATCATCATCATCATCATCATCATCATCATCATCATCATCATCATCATCATCATCATCATCATCATCATCCTTTTCCTCCTCCTCCTCCGCCTCCCCCTCCTCCTCCTCATCCTCCTCCTCCCCTACGTTGATCACGCAAGCGCGCCGCGCTCGATGCGCCCTGGCCACCCCGCCCGCCCGCCCAGATGGCGACCGCAGAACAATGGGGCCCGCGCCAGCGGTGGCTTGTCGCGGTGCCGCTGTCGGGTCGGGCGAAAGGGGGGGAGGAGGAGGAGGAGGAGGAGGAGGAGGAGGAGGAGGAGGAGGAGGAGGAGGAGGAGGAGGAGGAGGAGGAGGAGGAGGATCGGGTCGAGCGAAGGGGGGGAAAGCAAAGCGGGGGTTTGAGAATCAGCTCATGTAGCTGATTTCCCAGGCGCCTCCTGGCGCCGGAGGCGGCTATGCATCGAGAGACGGGCCCCTCGGTGGGACCGAAACCAGCTGCATGCAGCAAATTTCGTAACCCCCCCTTTCCCAATCCCCCCCTTTCGTTCTGCCCGACACTGGCACGCACCCGTGATGGTGTCGGTGCACTGCAGGGCTCGAGCTCTTTCACAGATTGTCCAGGGCAGTTTTCTATACATAGGATGTCTTTAAAAAACATAGGATGTTTAATCCATGATTAAGTTAATGAATAAAGTTGTGCATGAACTCATCGTTGTTTTTTAACTAAATCCCCGCATTTTCAATACATGATCCGCACGCGGAGCATGCACTAAAAACGGCACTTTCGGGAGAGCCCCTTCCCCTCGGGGCCCGCTTCCTTCCTGGCGATGATGGCACCGCCCTCCGCCGCGCGCCGTGCCTCCCCGGCGCTGCGCCGGGGGAACGGGTGCCGCGGGCAACGCCTCCCCTCTGCTCGGCGGGAGGGGGGGAGAGGGCAGGACACGAGAAGGGTGGGGAGAAAGAGAGAGAGGAGAGACGAAAAAGGGGCAGGAGGAGGAGGGCAGGGAGAGGAGAAGAAGAAGGAGAAGAAGAAAGGAGGAGGAGAAAGGAGGTGGCAATCGTGGAGGAGGACGAAGAGGTGGAGGTTGAGGAAGAAGCGGAAGGGGAGGAGGCGAAAGGAGAGGATAGAGGAGGAGCTGCAGAAGCAGAATAATAAGAAAGGATGAGGAGGAGGAGGAAGAGGAGCAAAAGGGAGGAGGTAGTGGTGGATAAGGGCGAAGAGATGAAGGATGAGGAAGAGAAGGAGGGGAAGTGGGGGAGGAGGGAGAGGGAGGAGGGGGGAGGAGATAGAATAAAGGGGAAGGGGAGGAGATTAAGAGGAAGGGGCCCAAAAAAGGGCCCAAAGGGGGCCACGAGGGCCCCCAGACGCCCCGAAGACGTCGGCACTTGATTCGAGACGACCCGCCCAGCCTCCCAGACGCCCCCCAAAAGGGCTCCAAAATGTCCTCCGAGCAGAACCCCAAAGCTAGAAATATAGCTGGTTCCCCAGAATGCTGTCCGAGGACTCTCCAGGTGCCGCCTGCTCCGCCTGCCGACGGACGCTCCAAGACTGCTCAGGGAGCTCCCCAGATCGCTCCAAGACGGCCCAAAAGGCTTCACTTTCTATTTCCCACCCCCCTCCACCATCGGCCCCACGCCCCACGTGTACGCCGCCAGGGACGCGATCGCAGCCGAAGCCAGCCGCCAGAGGTGCCGCAGACGACGGTGCGCCCACGGCCGCGAAGACCAGGAGCCCAAACGATCACAACCGCCACCGCCACCACCATCCTCACGACGACGACGACGACGACGACGACGACGACGACGACGACGGCGACCACGAATCGCACGTCTGCCGGCCGGGGAGCGATAGCGGCCGAGGCTGGTCACCGCAGATGCTGCAGACGAACGCCTTCGGCTTCCCCCTCGGCGCGTCCGCGGCCGAGACGGAGCAGGAGCCCAGCGTGGCCAGCTCCAGCTCCATGAGCTGCCGCCAGAAGCCCGCGTTCGGGCGGGCCAGGGGGCGGCGCGCCTTCACGAGCGCCATGGCGTCGGCCAGCGCCATGCGCTCGCGCACCACCAGGTACGCGAGGCACAGGGACACCGAGCGGCTGCGTCCCTCGTGGCAGTGGACGAGGGCCCTGCCCCCCGCGGCGACCGCCTCGTCGATGGCGCGCAGCCCCTCGTCGAAGGCGCCGGAGAGCTCCTGGTCCTCCGCGTCCTCCAGGGGCAGGCGCCGCCATCGGATGTCCGAGCCGAGGGCGGCCTCTGCGGGAGGAGGCAGATCCGAGGTGCAGTCCAGCACCAGGACGACACCCTGCTTCCTCATGAAGTGGAAGCACGCCGCAGCGGTGGCCGGCCCAACCAGCAGCGGGTGCGGCAGCAGGTCGCAGGGCCGAGTGACCTGGCTGGAGTCGGCCATCACGCGCAGCCTGGCCACCAGGTGCTCCAGCCGCACCAGAAGTTCGTAGGCATCCACGATCGGGTTGAGGCCGGAATCGCCGATGAATCCCCTGAACGACAGCGCCGTCTGCATGCTGTTGTCCCTGGCCCAGTCGTCAACAGCCTGCGACAAAGACCGAGTCTTCTCTTGCATCTGCCCCTGCCACGCGTCCCAAGATTCCTAGGAGAAGGAAAGCACCCACTACCCTCAGGTCGGGCATGTCCTCCTACAGACGGATTTGGGACGAAAAACGAAAGATAGTCCAAAAATTCAAACATAGTGGAAAATAGTCGAAAAAGCGTCCCCAGGCTGTTTCTATGACTATATGTGAAATACTCCTCCTGTAGAGGGACATGCCCGACTTACCCTACCCTGGAGCATCCACGAGCCCATCCTATCTTGGGCACGGGCCTTTGGATGGGACGCTGCCAGAAAGGGCCCGAGGAGCCCCCAGGATTTTCAAGGAGGCCGCAACGGCACCCAGAGAGCACCTTTCACAGGGCCCAGGAGGAGGAGGAGGAGGAGGAGGAGGAGGAGGAGAGAGAGGAGGGAAGGAGGAGGAAAGGGGGAGAAGGAGGAGGAGGGAGGGGGGGGAGGTGGAGGATAGGAGGAGGAGGAGGAGGAGGAGGAGGAGGAGGAGGACCAGAAGGCCCCAGGGGCTCCCAAAGTGTAGGGAAAAGCTGGGGACACCTTGGGCCAGGATATGGCTTCCTGACCTGACCAGGAGGAGGAGGGAGGGAGGGAGGAGAGGGAGGAGGAGGTGAAAGAGGAGGACGAGGAGGAGGAATTGGAATTGGAATTGGAGGAGGAGGAGGCGGAGGAGCCAACATACTTCAAGGACGCGGACCCAAGTTGGGCACGCAGAGACACGGCGCCAGTGGCTGTGATCCCTTTCCCGATCCTTCAGTCGCTCGTCGGACTTGGCCTCCCTCCCGATCATCAGAAGCTCACTTCCGAGCGACTTCATGGGCGGTTTGGCGCTGTTCCGCCAGTCGTCGGCCTTCACTCCCGACCTGCGCATGTCCTC